TGTAGTCATAGTGCAGCAAAGTGACCTGAAGCAGGACAAGAGACAAACGGTAGATACATGAGGGGGGGGTACCATATATATATATATATGTATATATGTATACATATACATGTATACGTATATATATATATATATATATTTATTTACTTATTTATTTAATTAATTGTTTATGCAAAACGCATCTAGGCAACTTTTCTGAGGCATACGCGTATACTGTAGGCACATGAGGCCTCGGGGATGCACCAGGACCCCTAAATAGCCAGTCTCTACGGTTCTATAGGTTTATAACGTGGTCATAGGTATAGGGCTTGAAAGTAAGGGTCTATGGTTATAGGGTTTAGATTTTTAAGGCCTTAGGGTTTGAGGGTTTGGGCTTAGGGTTTTAGAGTTATAGGATTTGGGTGCAGGGCTGTGCGATTATAGGTTTCAGTGTTATTATAGTTTTTGTTGGCCTAGGGTTCAGGGTTTAGGAGTAATTATAGGGTTCAGGGGTCATACTGTAGGTTTTTGTCCATAAGATTACCGAATTTTTCGGTGATAGAGTTCGGGGTTTGAGCTATGTGGCCGCAGGACTACCTGGCCTACTGCCAGCAAGAGCTGGAAAGTGGCAAAGAGGACGGTCGGCCAAGCGAAGCCTCGCAGCAAAGCCGTGAAGTTAGGGCTTTAGGGGTTGAGGGTTTAGGGTTAAAAATGCCCAAACACGCACCGATGACTTGGTAGCTCAGTAAGTAACCGTTCAACTTTTCAATGCTACCACTATGCAGCGACCTCTTTAAGTCCTCAATAAACTAAGAGACATACCCGAGGGTCCATATGAACTATGATTGTGAACTGGGCCCCCAAAGACCATCCTTATTCTAGACCCTAAACCCTAAACCCTCAACCCCCTAAACCCTAAACCCTAGACCCTAGTTGCGGGGCCCAAATTCCATAAGTGTAGTGTGTACGGACGCTCCGGGCAGGGATCCTCCTACCCTAAGCCCTATACCCTTAAGAGTACATGTCCGAGCTTTCCAATATTCTTTTGGGGTTCCGCAAAAAACCTTTCGAAGGAACCCTGCAAAGGGTACGTGGAGCCTTTCGGATAACACGGGCCCGGAAAAACTGGCAAGCATAGTCTCTTGTAGTCGTTCAAGTATACCTAGAGGCTCCATATATACTACCATTATGGAACTACGTCCCAAAAGACCATACTCATTATGGCTTTAGGGACTTAATTCCATAATGGTAGTATATATGGAGCCTCTGGGATACTGTGGTAAACTCGAAACCCTAAACACTAAACCGTAAACCCTAAACCCTAAACCCTAAACCCTAGACCCTAAACCCCGAACCCTAAACCCTAAACCCTAAACACTAAGCCGTAAAC